TATCATTGATTTGTTTATTACTAAAAATAAAACATGCATTTAATTGAGTTGATTATTTGTTTATTACTAAAAACAAAATGCTGTGCATTTAACTAATTGATTATTTGATTACTTTTAAGAAAAGCATCATGCATTTAATTAATCAATTGATAATTAAAATTTATTATTCATTTACTTGACAATTGGATTGATTATTTGTTTATTACTAAAATTAAAATCTGCATTTAATTAAATGACAATTGAATTGATTATTTGTTTATCCCTGTTGGGATAAAAATATTGTTACTTTGACAAAGATCTTTTGGCCAAATCTCTTAATTCTGGGACAATTTAATCTCTATTTGTATTTATTTTATTATTATTTTCTAATTGTTTATTTGTATAATTGTTTATTGTTTACATCCCATATATTTAATTATCATTAATTAATTCATAGCATGTTAATATTTATTTAAACAAAAAAAGGAAGATACTCTGCCACCAGGGTGGTTGTGACATGGCAAATGTTTGTTTCTTGTGTTAAATTAAATATTTTTTTTTTATATAATAAATGAATTAATTCCAAATTGTTTTTCTAGTGGCAATGCTAATACTAAATCAATAATGGATTAATTTCTTGCTGGTATTTTTAGTAGCAGGAGAGAATCTTTTTCAAAAAAAGCTTAATTAATTTCACATTTTTGGAAAAGGCTCAATTTAATCAAATGATTTCTTTTCATTTTTTTTTTTTACTTATAAATACAACCTTTGAACATTTTAAAAAAAATTGGGAGAGTGATCATGATCAAAAGATTTATACAACGCAATCAATTTTGTGAAACGAAAATTTTCGAAAATTTCCAAAGAGAGATAGTATCGTTGCCAATTCTTTCTAAATATTACCAAAATATTGCCAATCTTTTCTAAATTGTTACAAAGTATGTTGCACAGATTTGATTGAGTTGTTAAATTAAAAATATTTCAAGTTTTTTAGTAATACCATATGTGTTGAACAATTCTACAAATTTGGCAGAAAAAATACTAATGTGTAACGTGATACGTTCCAATTCTGCCAACTGAATTTTTAACACTGCTGTAATTCTTTGTGACATAATAATAATGTTACAATTATAATATATATTACTTACCAACATTCATTTTCCTTTTATTTAAAAAATTAGTAATCATAATATATTATTAAACGAAAATGGATCGTCAAAGTATATTAGCAACGTACGGCATCCCAATCACATCTCCTCCACGCTCAAATAGTAATAGTGGCAATAGTAAGAGCTCTCGAAGAACAGCCCAAGGTATTAACGTTGGAAATGTTGGACGTAATAGCAAAGGATATTCGGTGACTGCCTTATACTCTATGGCTGCTGAACAAGATGTTGAAGTTCAAGATGAATTATCAAGAGGTATATATATATATATATTTGTTCTCGTTTTCTTTTAATTTTATTTATTAATTTATTATCTTATTTTTAATTAATAATAAAGCACAAAAAAAATTGAGAGAATTGAAAAGTAAAATTTCCGTACAGTCTAAAAAAAATTTTATATTGGAAAGAGATGTTAGATACTTGGATTCTCGAATTGCATTATTAATTCAAAATCGTATGGCATTAGATGAGGTAATAATAATAATAGGCAAAGTAACTAGATTAATTACTTGGATTATAATTGATTGTTTTTTTGCTTTTCTTATCACCAAATAGAAACAAGAAGTGGAAAGTTCGCTTTATGACACAGAGCCACTAGAAGGTACATTTCCAGATGATCGTAAACAACAGCAATATGGAAATCTTTTCTTCTTGCTACAAACTGAACCAGGACATATCGCAACTTTATGCCGACTGGTCAGCATATCAGAGATTGACACTTTATTACAAACTGTGATGTTTACACTTTATGGTAATCAATATGAAAGCAGGGAAGAGCATTTATTGTTAACTATGTTTCAGGTAAATTATTACTGTTGTTATTGTTACGATATATTATGCAATGTATTCACACATATTTATATTTACCATGTTCATTTAGTCGGTATTATCAGCACAATTTGAAACTACATTAGACTTTAATTCTTTACTTAGAGCAAATACACCAGTATCACGTATGATGACCACTTATACTCGTCGAGGACCTGGACAAAGTTATTTAAAATCGGTATTATCGGAAAGAATTAATAATCTGATTGAACATAAAGAATTGAATTTGGAAATCAATCCACTTAAAGTTTATGAACAAATTATAAGAAAATATGAAGATGATGCTGGCCAACTGCCACCTAATTTACAAAGAAGTGTCACGCCGGATGTTGCTGCTGCAAATCCCGATGTACAAAAAATCATAGCACCTCGTTTAGACATGTTAATAGAAATTGCAAATGGATTTCTTACGACTATAATTCAATCTATTGATCAAGTACCTTATGGTATTCGTTGGATATGTAAACAAATTCGTTCATTAACAAAAGTAAGACAATAAATATATTTGTATATAATTGTGTGTGTATATATATGTGTGTGTGTTAAATAATGTGCATTTATTTAAATTTAGCGAAAATATCCAGACGCAACAGAATTTGCAATATGTTCGTTGATTGGTGGGTTCTTCTTTCTAAGATTTGTGAATCCTGCAATAGTTACACCTCAAGCATATATGTTGGTGGATGGAATACCTGGAAACCATCCAAGAAGAACTTTAACCTTGGTAAGTTAACAAACTACATAAATTTACGTATTTACTTATGTATTTATTTTGATTAATATAATTGTTGTTTCTGCTTAGATTGCAAAAATGTTACAAAATCTTGCAAATAAACCAACATATTCGAAAGAAGAATATATGATAATGATCAATTCGTTCGTCGAACACAATAAACAAAGAATTAATAAATTTTTACTTGAATTATGTGAAGTTGGTGATTTTTATGAGAGTTTAGAGGTATGCACAAAGTGTGTGTGTACATATATATATATTAATACGTCACATAACTTAATATTATTAATATAATTAATATATAGATGGATCAATACATGGCACTTTCCAAAAAAGATTTAGTACTAAATATTACATTAAATGAAATATATAACACTCACTCACTATTGTTACAGCATCAAAATGTTTTGGTAATTTGATTTTTTTACTGAATTACTATCATAATTAATAACCATTATACCAGTAATAATAATGACCAATTATTTTAATTATATATAATTATGATCTTAGGCACCATCTGAAAAATCTCACCTGCGTATACTGTTAGATGAAATTGGTATAGCTCCTTCACAAGTACCTAGAAAAGAAAATAGAACCATGCAACTTCCATTATTTAGTCGATGGGAAACTCCAATACAAGGTAATTTTTGAAACATTATTATTATTTATATATATATGTGATTTATTTCTAATATAAACCTTTCCATACTATCAATTACTCCATTTTTCGCCAGACATTGCATCAGCATTTGTATCAGACAATGTGACACAGAATGATATTCTTTATATGGAGACAAAATCAATATTTGTACAATTGATTAGATCTATGCCACGTATGGCGGAGAAACGGCCACTAAATTTATATTTGATTGCTGAGATAGCTGCCACATCAAAAGATGTATCTTTAGTACGTAAAGGTATAAAGGTGAAAGAAATGCTTTCGGAATTAGAAGAGGCGCATGTAATTGATCGTAGAGATGGGTATCGACTTATGACTGAAGAGGTGGCAACTGAATTAGCTCATTTGGGTAATATTCGTGAGAAAGTCACCCAAGAAATTCAATCCCTGGAGGAAGTTTTTAAAACTATAGGTGATCACAATAATTATTTGAGAAGTCAATTGGATAGTTATAAAGCATATTTGTTTAATGTGAGACAGCACTCATCAAAAGAGGCTCCTAGTGGTATAGGAACTAGTGTGGTGAAAGTTGGTAATAAAGAAAAGAAGCCACAGAAAGTTAAGGTGTTGGGACCTTATAAATTTACATATGCACAATTAGAAAGAGATGAAATTATTGTGGAAAACAATGTTCCCGAAAATCGGTAGGTGGTTTTGTTTGATTATGGTTGGTGGCGTTATTATGAATATGATTTAGGTGAAAAATAATATTAATACATATTTTACATATTTAAAAATTATAAAAATAAAAAGTCGTCAAGATATATATTTCAATATTACATCTCCGCTTCCAGGAACATTTATTATCGCGTTACATTATAAGGGTCGTGATGCTGCTATTTTAGAAATGGATCTTAAATTGGATGATTTACTGGAAAAAGTAAATTTTTAAAATTTAAATTTTATTATTTGGATTTTTTTAAATTTATTATTAATTATCATTAATTATTTCAATAACAGCAACAAGATAATGTCGTATCGCTTGATCTTGAATATGTTCAATTAAATGTGGGAAAGATTTTAAATCTTTTAAATAGAACTTTTTCGAAAAGAAAACATTGATTTATTTTCATCATCATCATCATCATCATCATCATCATCATCATCATCATTATTTTTTTTGTTAATATTTTTTATTTATTTCTTATTTTGTATCTATATATAATATATATTTAATTAACTTAATACTAATTTTGTTTTATATAATTTAAAATACATTCATTTTTTATTTATTTATTTTTTAAAAAATCTAAAATTACAATTAAAAGTATTTTTATTCATATAATATAAATAAATAAAATTAAATAAATATTAATCAAATTTACCATATTTTTTTAATCTTCTTAATACATAATAATTAATTAAATATTTTAAATTGAGATAATTAATTAAATATTTTAAATGATAATATATGACATAGGGAGTTGGAGATGGTAAACAATCGTTATCATTATCATTATCATTATCAATATCACTGTTATAATAATAACTTGCAAAATATTTAGACTCATCAGTCATAATACCATCAATACCTAATTCGACACATTCTTTAAAAATTTTTGTTTTATTAATAGTCCAAGCAAATACTGGTTTGCCAAGTTTATGAGCGTATTCAATGAACTGTTTGGCTTCTTCGTCGTACAACGATGCAAACATTAAACTATATCCGTCAGCGTCTGAAAAATAATTTTTAGCTATAGATAAAGAAAATCCTATATGAATTATTGGTAATTGAGGTAATTGAGTTTTTGCTAATGTTATAAATTTTGGATGCCAAATTCCCAATAACAATCTTTTTTTAAAATAATTTAAATCGTCATTATAACTTTTTAAAATTGTGGATAAAAGTAACATGATGCTTGGTGGATTGTCAATCTTTATATCTATTACTGCCCAAACTTTAGAATTCTCTGGTTTTATTAATAAATCTAGAAAATCTTGTAACCTAGCAATTTTACAATTTGGTGGTTCTTTTGTTGTTAAATATTCTAAATCACCATAATAGTTACACGTCGCCACTAAACCTTTACCTGTTGTTGTACGATCTAATTTTGAATCATGTAATATTATAATCTCATCATCTAATGTTTTACGAATATCTATAATGATTATGAATATTATGGATATTATTATTTTAAAATAAATAATAATAACAGATAGTGAAATTGTAAATAATCAATAATAACCAAGTTCAATAGCTCCTATACCATCAGCAATCGCTTGTGTAAAAGATAAAATGGTGTTCTCCGGATATAATGCATTAGATCCTCTATGAGCTATTACGTGTGGTCTGCCTACTGTTGCTGATAAACAGAAACTTGCACGATTTGAAATTCCTTCCATTACAATATATATATATATTAATGAGTGAAAATAAATATATGAGAAAATAAATAAAATAAATATGATCGTCTTAATTTAGTGAGAGTAAATATGTGGAATGTGTGTGCTAACCAAATTTAGTAATTATCGGTGGATTTTAATATATTAATATAGGAACGGGAAAACTTTATTGAATGTCACCGCCAAATTAAGCGCTTGATCGAATCTCGAAAGTTGATTGTCGATTTTTTATAATTAAAAATAACCAAAAATGGGCTAGACAATAAACCACATGACGTATTTTTTCCTTATTTGGATTTAAATTATTCTCTATATATACAGGAAAAATCTGGTCTCTTCTGTCATATTAACCTTTCAATTAGGACGTAATTAAATATATATTTTAAGAATCCACACAACTTTTTACACTAGATTTTTTTCTTACATATAGGAGAACTATTGGTATAAAACCCGTTTATTTATTTATTTTTTGTTTGATTCTATAATTACAAGTTAGTAATGGTAAACACTAGACCACTAGTTAATACTCTACCATGTTTGCATTTAAGATCTTGCAAAATAAATATTCAAAAAAATGGAATCTCATTGCTAAGTATTTATTCAAAGTATACTTTTACAAAATACAAAAAATAGGATAAGAGTTAGTGCGATGATCTTTTAAATGTAAATTCTCAATGATTTATTATTTTTAAGAATCAACTACTAAATTTTATTAACTTTTCTATAGTTCCGACCATATTAGAACTATTTGTTTATTTATTTTTATTATATAAAATTCGGCATAGAATTTAATAACCATGAAGTAATCTGTTATATACAATAATAGGCGAGGGAATTCATTTATAAATTAATATTATTTATTAATTTTATAATTTTAATAATAATAACAAGAAAGGAAAAAAAGAAGACATAGAAAAAATCATTTATATGCAAAAGGTATTAATTTAACTTAATTTAACATGCATTGTTAATAATAATAGGCAAAGAGTAAGTCCTAGTTGAAGACTAGTAGGAAGTTGAATGAATTCTAAAAAAGATTGAGTGATAGGTTAATGAACTCAAACAACTCTTCAGTATATTTAACCATTTATGAAAAAATTATTGAATTTGTATGATAACTTTATGATTGTGATTTGCAACTCTTGGTAGACTCATAAAGCAGTTAAAAACACACATAATACATAATTTTGGAAGTTGTATGGCCATTTAATAATGCTCTCACCAAGTTTTCCTTCATAAAAATTTTTTTATTACTTTTTCAATGAAAAGATTTGCATAAAATTTAACCAATCATTTTGTTTTGATGTTTTTCTAGAATTGGCCTAAAAATCTGTTTATTTATTTTTTTTGTTTAATTCTATAATTACAAGTTAATAATGGTAAACATTAGACCACTAGCTAATACTCTACCATGTTTGCATTTAAGATCTTGCAAATAAATATCCAAAAAAATGATGGAATCTCATTGCTAAGTATTTATTCATATTCATTATTTTTAAGAATCAACTACTAAATTTTATTCAAATTTTTTATAGTTCCGATCATATTAGAACTATTTATTTATTTTTTGGTCTATATATAATGAAAACATCATATAATACATGAGCTCCGGCAATGTTGGCATTTTTATATGTCCAATTAATTTTCAATTGGATTTGTCTTGTCCAATTGTCCAATCCAAATCCAATAGGCGCAGTAGCTATTTGGACATTTGAAATTCTAAATTCTAACATGATATAAATAATGTGTTTATTTGGAATTAGAACAATGAAAAATAAACCTCATTCTTTAATTATGTTTTTTTTGTTTTTTATTTTGTTTTTATCTCAGGCAATAACAATATATCTAATGCATCCACATCCAATGTCAATATCACCATCAACATTGCTAAATAAAAACATCATAAATTTGTCTTAGGATTCTTTTCAAAGCAATAATACTAATAATATAATACTGAGAGATTTATGCTACATACTCCTAATCTGAAGAATCAATATTAGAGGATCATTTGTTTCATATAACTGTATCTAATGGTTTGGCTTTCAGGTGGATTGAAAGTGAAGAAGTAAAGTCCCTTTCCAAATGGTTGAATCCAAATAGGAAGGCTCTTTCTGGAAGGATTTTGAATGATGCATCTTTTAAACATAATCATTGGATAGAACAGCAAGCATCCAATTTATGTCCAAATTATCTAATATAGTAATTTGGACACAAATTGAACTGTTCAATATGCCAACATGACTTTTGTTGCACCATGTCCAATTCCAAATACTAATTGGACATTTGGATCCAGATATTGGACACAATTTGGACCATTTGGACATTTGGACAGATTTGCCAACACTGAGCTCTGGTGTAAAATTTGGCATGGCTGTTACATACAATAATAGGCGAGGGAATTCATTTATAAACTAATATATATTTCATAATATTATTTATTAAGGGTAGAGTGTAGTATTATGCTGTAATAACCACAATACTATTCTAAAATAACATCAAAAGTTTCATTTACCTTTTTTGCCATTTGTAATGATTTTATACTTTCAATCTGTTCTAATTTTCCTCTATTTTTAGTTCTAAGAAAAACCTTGGTTTTGGTTTTTTTCCATCTTTTGAAAAAGAAATAAGAAAAAACTTATATTGATATAGGCTGTGGCGAACAAATAGCTCAACACCAAGCTGATAGATAGTCCCCTAAGTGTGCCACAGAATGATGTTTTTCCTCTTCAATGTTCAACAATGTGTGCGAAAAAGAGCACATAGGGCCACAGCAAACAAATAGTTCAACACCAAGCTGATGAATAGTCCCCTAAATGTGCTGCAGTGGGCAAAGGGTATGATAAAACAACATCCTTATACTGCCTCTTCGGAATTATATCAACATATCTAATGCTGTGTATAACCTTATCAACACATCTAATGTTATATACAATTGTATCAGTTCATGCTGAATATAATCCTATCCTAGTTGAGCAATGAACCTTCAGGAAAAATTAAAAAAAAAAAGTGTAACTTAACTTTTAAATCATTAAGTAAAGCCTAGCATGCACATCTTGGTCAATAAATAAATTATCAGATATAGCCTCAAGTTCCTTTTTCGTGTAATCAATTATTTTCAACTTTTCGCCATTAAAAATTTCATGATCTAAACACCATTTACCAAAAGAATCAGGTGACCATGATTCTGGTGGTTCTAAGTTTAAATAACTCTTCATTTTAACTGAAAGAAAATAGGGAGGTAATCTTGCTAATAGAAGCAAAGTAAGTTTGTTATCCTACCTGTTTGATTTTCATAAAATTTTTCTTCTCTAAATTTGCGAAGTTCAAACTTATCCATACTTATATATTAACATAATATTAATAATAATTATACATATGATAGAAATAGGTTGATTAAGAGACTTGGGAATTGAGCAAATTAATTTTGACATGAGAGAGAATTTATTGTCAGTATTTTTTATTTTACTATTACTATTACATGTGAATGATCAACATTACAAAAAAATTCTTATAAATAAAATTTAATTAATAAAATAATAAAAATATATAAATTATTATCAAAAAATAATTTTACTTTACAATTAAATATCATTCATCATCTTCTGAGTCAATAATTGAAAAAGGCTCTGTTGAAGAAGTTGTTTTTGGTAATGAAGTTGTTTGAGAAATGGGCGTAGAAATGGGTATTGTGAGACTAATTGTAGAGGAATTATTGCTATCAGTAGATTCAATTTGATCATTGGAAGATGTATTGGAATCCAATGGAGCCTCTGGAACTTTGGGTTCTTTTGACAAAGTAACAGTAATAGATTTTCCTTTGTGTTTGTTATACATTTCATCATATTTTTGTAAAGTTGTTGATAAGTTATCATTTAAAATCAAAAGTTTCTCTAAAAAATTATTGATATCATTTATATTGTTGAAAGAAAATATTAAGTTTTTTTTTTAAAATAAATGACTTTATATTATTTGATTAATAATGATTCTCACCAAGTAAATTCTTTTCAATAACAGATGAAAGATATGGTGTTATTTTTGTTTGAAGATTTTTACATTCATCATATAATTGCTTTTTTTTAAAAAATAAGGTTTTTAGTATCATTATTATTATAATAATTAAAATAAAATCATGATGTGTATATATGTGCAAATACCATTATAACTTCATTTGGAATTATTTGATTGTTATTATTATTATTACTATTTGATTTTGATTTTGATTCATCATTTACCATCATTTCTTTTAAAAGGCTTAGACTTTCTTCAGCAATTTTAATATCTTTTTTTAAATCATCCAAATAAATTCCTAATCCCGTCTCTGAAGATTCAGCTTCATCAAACGAACTTGACAATCCAGAAAAAGACTTTGTTTCAAAGTCCGGTAATAAATAATTAAAGTCTCCATTTTCTGTATCACCCTTCTGTGCCAATTCAGTATTTCTAACACATGCACGAAGAATGTCTCGAGAAAGTCTTGACATTTCTGCATCATTAGGCTTCACATATTGAAATATTATAAATATATATGTGTATGCGTATTTGTGTTAATATTAATTTTTTAATAACTTACTTGAACATTGACATCTAAAACACGAACACTATGATTCATCTTTATTGAAACTGCTAATGCCATAAGTCCTGCAATATCAATTCCTGGGTTAGATGTAAGGTCTAAATGAGTTAAAGTCCTGGTTTCTGGAAGATATTCTGCAAGAGCAATTGCACCTAAAATAAAAATAGTTAATACTAATTTTTTTTTGAAGAAATTTAATATCTATACATTAAACACCTTCTGTCATTAAATTTACATCTGATAGGATCAATTTTTTAAGAGAATCATTTACTGATAAAGAATTTCGAAGCGATATTATCTATATTTTAAAATGTTAAAACACGTTTAAATATAATTAAATAGAAGCATATCAAGAAAGATATATAGCATACCCCTTCTGCTGAAAAACCTCCAACATTGTTCCTGCTTATATCGAGTAATTCCAATGTATAATTATATTTCTTTATTTGTTAATAGAGATTTTATTAATAGCTACTTTAATATGAAACAAAATTCTTTTAATTGATACTATTCAACTTACAAAACCATCGGCCAAATTTAATAAGCCTTTTGAATCAATTCGATTATCTAGTAAATATAGTTCTTTTAAACTTCGATTTCTTCTTAAAGCCTGGGCTATATATTGTATGCCGCCCTATATTTTAGGAAATGACTATATTAAATTTAAAGTATATAAAATATATACACATGAACATATATGCATGTATATGATGTTACCTTTAAATCATTACCACTAACATCTAATACTTCCAAACCCTGTCTTCTATTTCTTGATCTTTCGGCTTTAGCCTCTTCTTGTTCGTTGAATGCTGGCATAGTAGAAACTGAAATTGATGGATTATTGGGAGTCCAATTAAAGTCATCGTAATCGCGTAACATAACACCAATCCATACAGCACCAACATGATTGATATTATTAAATTTAAGTGACAGATAATGTAAATTTGATCTTCGAATTCCGGGACCTATAAGTTTTTTTAAGGAAGAAAAAACATCATTATTTATATTTTATTTTACTGGTAATGCAATAATAATACATACCCAAAACTTCCAAAACATTGTTCTTTAGTGCACAATTATCCAACTTGAGTGTTTTTAGTATAGCACCAGATTTACTATTTCCTTGTGTTAAAGCTTGTGCTAAAAAAGTAGCTGATTTTTTGTCAATGTTTGTTCCAGAAAGATCAAGATATGTCAAAGTTGTAGACTACAAGAAAAATTAATTATAATCATCATTAACAAATTATTATTATATGATGAAGAACATTTATAATTATTGGTGAATAATTTACCTTTTTAATATAAATTGCTATATAATTAAAACCATTGGATCTTATTCTTCTATTATTGGCCAAATTGAGATATGCCAATTTATCATTCACAAGTAAACTATGGCATAGAATTTTTAAAGTCTATAAAGAAAAAAGTTGATTGAAGATTAATCTATAGACTTTTTAAGAAAGTAATTATGATGATAATAATAATCCATACGTCATCTTCTAATTCACACCTCTCTAATATTAATTTTTCCAAGCCAAATTCAAGTGTAAGAACATCTGCTATAGGTTCAGCAATGTTGCGATCAATAATATCACCTAAACAAATAAAATAAGCATTTATATCGAAAATTGCCATTTGTCAATAATATATAATTATTATTATTATTATTATTATTATTATTATTATCATTATTGTTAGAAAAAATTTCTCTAGTTATTATAAATTTGCAAACGATTAATATCCAACCTGTCAAATCAATAACTTTCAAAGATCCTCCTTGCTGATTTGCTTTCTAATTAATGAAAATGAATTAAAAAAATTATTTAAATTATAAAAAAAAATCTATTTAAACATTTACATAGTTTACCCTAAGGATATCCACAAGTCGATCGACAGGAAATTCTTCTCGAATTTTACAGGCAGAAAGATAAAATTGCATTATATCTTTAGCCGAATAAGATGTTTTCTGATCCGATTTTGGTTGCAATTGCTGATTTATAGGATTTTGGATATTACTCCATTCATGGAAATCGTATTCTTCTTCCCAATCACTATTATCACTATCACCGGGGATTGGTGAATGTGGATGTTCATTTGTTAATTTATTTACAGAAAATCGAACCCGTTTAAGAGTTTTAGGGGTGAGAAGATTGTTGTTATTTGGGGATGACGATAAATTTTCATTATTTAATTGCGAAACCTGTTCTCCTGGTAAATCATTAACATTCAACACATTTAATTTGGGGTTTTCTTGTTTTTCTTCTTCTTCTTGTTGTTGATGTTGTTGATGTTGATGATGTTGTTGTTGTTGTTCTAGTTGTCGTTCCTCTTCTTGGAAATTAGCAGCAGCAGCGATAGCAGGAGCAGCGGTTGCGGTGATAGCAGTAGTGCTTAAACGTTTCAATGTATTTGAAAAAAAAGAAGCACCAGTGGATGATGAAGCGGTCGAAGTAGTTGTAGCTGTAACGTTAACGACATTTTGAAAAGCAGCAAACCAATCACGTCTCCAAGTTGAACGCGTGCTGGGCTGAGGTGCAGGTTTTAATATGCCTTTTTGTGGAGGTTTAGCATTTGCGGTAGAAATTGGACGTCGGTAGGGTATAGGCTTTGATCTTGCTGGTTTTTCGATATTTTGAGACTCGTCATGATCATCATCAGTCAAAGGTACAGCAGATGAATCTAACATTCACAACAAAAAAAATAGAACGATGTGTATAATAAACTTGATGAATTGATTGATTTATTAATAATGAAACGAATTCCATGAAATTAAAGAATTACTATTGTTTTCTTTTTCAAAAGTTTCTTCTACATTTTCTTTATTATTGTTTTTTTGATCCAATAGCCATTGTAAAATAGACTCAAATCCGAGACCCTTATTCTCATTTATAGCAGTTTCAGCAATAGACTGCTCAAAACCCATTGACACCAATTGTAAGAGGACATCATTCGAGTTTATTGTACTGTCTTCGTTCTCATTTTCTGTTACTTCCTTGAGAACTTCCTCTTTTTCTTTATTATTTTTAGTAGTAGTAACAGTAAATGATCCTGAAAAACCGCTTTCCGACTCTACTGTACTCTCAACATTTGCTTGATCACTAGATAAGTTTGGCGTGTTATCATTTTCTTCAAGCGAACTAAGCATAATTAATATATATATATATTTAAATTTTTTTTTTTATTTTCTATATACAACTAATAAATACCCATTTCATTGGTGAATTAAAATCGAAACATATTATATTCCAACTGAATTTTTAAGGTTTGTATGACATCCATCACAAATCCAATTTTCCGATTAAGGGAATAATAGCATGAACTTGACCGTTAAAGACATTTTTCAATAAACGAAATTTGTTTCTTTATAATAATACTATATAAAACTATGAATATATTGCTGAGAGCCATAATTTTCATTGGTGTAAAAAAATCAATCGTTTTACCAATGTTGTATACAACCCTTTATTCTCCCATTATTATAATTATTATAATTTCCATGACGGCAACTAAAAGTTGGATCACCTAATATTATTGGATAAATTTTATGTCATGTGATATCTTCTTTTGTTTGGACAGTATATAATATATATACTTGACATGTATTATAGATTTTTTAAAACATTAGGAAAAATTTATTCAAAATAAACAGAAATAATTAATATACTGTATGTGTATATTTATTTACTCTATTGCTATATATATATAAATTTTTTTTTTCCTAATCAACCAACTAAACTAACTGAACATAATTTCTCTTACTCTATCTCACACACACTATATTATATTCTATATTTATTTCTTTGAACCATGAACGGTGACATTGAAACTAATGGTTACAGGTAATTCAACTTCCTTGCCTTCGATTTCAACCTTGATTTTACCTTTTGTATTAGTTGTTGTCCATCCATAACCAGTAGAATGTTTATGAGGTTTTGCATCCATAGTGTACAAGATTTCATCATTTGAAGATGAAGAAGATTCACCATTATTTCCATTATTTGATGTTTCTTTACTTTCTTCTTCTTTTTTATCGTCTCCTTCTTTTTTATCATCAACTTCTTGTTTTTTATTTGCTTCATCAACATCTTGTTTGCTTGAAACAGATTTAGAAATAACCAATTTAAGATCTTTGGCATTAGATAAAAAATCCTTCAAAGTAGGAAGATTGGATTGTTCATTTTTCTATTAATAAATTATTATTTATTATTATTAAATATAAAAATTATTGTTATTGTTATTGCTCTACCAATATAAAGAAAGATGTAATAGTATAAGTATATAATATAAAAATACCTCAGTTTTTGCTTTTTTAGTCTTAGTAGCGCCTTTAGATGCAGTCGAGGAAGAAGAAGAAGCTTCAGCTTTTGCTATTTCAGTTTTAGTTTTAGCAGCACGTCTTGGGTTTATTTTGCGTTCAACAGTAGATTGTTCCTCAGTGTTTGTCTTTCTTTTACGTGAGGAAGAGGTAGTGTTGGCGGTAGCACTAGCGTTAGAAGCAGGTTTACTATTATCTTCAGCAACTTCACTTGTCATATTTAATATGTTAGTTTTATTTTTTTGTTGTGTTGTAAAGAAAAATAATTATTTTTAAAGAATAAACAACTATGTGATATTTATTATGATTTAAATTATATTATTTTATCACAATTAATTCGATATTATCACATAAAAATAAATAACAGATGTATTATTATAATATAAATATAAACAATTTATTTATTATATTTTCTTTGCATCAAATGATAATAATCGAATAAATAATAATAATAATATATTTTTCTTATCCGTAATTTAATCTAAAGACATCATGGTATACCCAATACGTGCCACTTTCGGGTACAAGATAAAAAACTTGGGAGAATCTTTGAGTATTTGTTTCTTGGTCGATCTAACAACAATAAATACTAGAATAAATAAATAATGATATTACTATTATTTTCTTTATATTATTTCCATTATTTCCTCCTACCAATAATTCACCAGTAACCATAACAATTATACTATTAGATGTTGATGGTTGTGCATCGATTGTAGTAACTCTATGAGCAACTTGTTGAAATGGCAAACTCTAATAATAATAATAATGATAACAAATGATAACAAATGATAATGATAATGATAATGATAATGTATTAAATAATAATAACGTATGAATAAAATAATATGTTAATAATATGTTAATACGATGTTAATACGATGTTAATATATTAATAATAAGTTAAATAGTTACCGTTAGTTTTTCAATAATTGCATTTACACCTTTAAATGGCGCTCCTTCAAACGTGAGCATTGAAGTTTCTCTCTGTTAAAAAATCATTTTGTTTTTTTTAATATAATAATTACTCTCTGCATTATTATGTTTAAGATCTATTAATGATCTTTAATTAAATATGATTGAACACATATTTTCATTTCTATAATGTCATATTAAACGCGTTATCTCGATAACTTATTCCTTCCTTCCGTTCATTTGATTATTATTATTATTATTATTATGATCAATATTAATAATATTGTTATTACTCAAAAGACTTACGTAAAGTGGACGAAGTTCCAATCTGTTAGAGCCAAATATTGAATAATAATATTGGATGAAATGATTGGCAACTGTGTCAATGTCTGCCATGTTTGTCCTTAAATAATAATATTTTCTTTTTGTTTTATAATAAATATCAAAAAAGAATATTACTCTTTTTTTTTGTACAACTTTATTATTATCATTAAATATCATGTGATCTACATGGAAAGCTAGCAATTTTAAAGTTGTTTTATCAAAATAAAACTTGAAAAGAAAGGTTTCTCCAAAAGTATTTAAACAACAGAAGAAAAAGATCATTAAATTACAAAGCAAATGTTTGTAATAACAATTTATCTTTGGAAATGTTACCTATACTTGTCGTTGAAGATTTGGTTCAATTTTTCGCCTGTACGTCCTTCTTATTATTAATCCATACCATATTTGGTAATGTAGAAAAATTCGTTTTGTTAAAATTCGCTATTACTAATTTGGCAATCGGGATTATTGCGTTTTATTTCGAAGAATCATGAATATTATTTTTCCTTGA